TGACCATGTCCATCCCTTTATGACCACAGTGTACCATCTTCTGACCATGTCCATCCCTTTATGACCACAGTGTACCATCGTCAACATGGACCAGACTCTGAGGAATGTTTCCAGTACCTTGTTGAATCTATGACACCAAGGATTAAGGCAGTTCTGAAGGTAAAAGAAGGTCCAACCTGGTCCTAACAAGGTGTACCTGATGAAGTGCCAGGTGAGGTTCAGGTGTGTCTGATGCAGCTGACAGATGTGTCCTACTTTGTCCCCAGTTAGAGGGACAGGTCTGATGGATCCTTCTCGGTCCATCCTATCCCATGATGCACTGTGGTCCGACCACAGATTCTCCTCTGCTCGTAACGTTAGAGGAAGTGAGAGAAAAAAGAGCAGTTTTAAATAAATATCTGTTGTTTTAATTATTAAAAGTTTCAGGTGTTTGTGTTGTTAAAGCTTTTATCATTTATAAAGTTTTAATATTATTCTGATTCTAGAGAAATAACCCTGCAGCTCCATTACTTCTTCAAATACTGTCTTTAAGATCATTTTATTGTTTTAGACTCATAACTAATATATTAATATTTTATGGTTTTCATCTAGTTCTGCTCTGTTTAGCGTCACAGTTGCTAGGTGACAGGACGTACACCGGAGTGGACGAGAGGCTGGACCGTCCAAATTCACAGACTCTTCCTGTCTTCACGGTCGACCAAGGACCCGGCCCACCTGGACCAGGTGAATCTGGACACAGTGATGGATTTGGCAGCAGGTGAAGCGGTGCGACCTCTGACCTTAGCGTAGCACCGCTCCATGTGTCGCAGCGCCACCTTGGGGTTGACGGGGTGGCTGCAGGAAACACAGAAGATCTGCAGGTCCGTGTCGTCTCCGTCACCTTCAGTCACCTGCAGACGGACACACAGACGGGTCACAGCAGAACCAGCAGACTATGGGAGGGGCTACCTGAGCGTCTCTGGGTCTCGGACCTCCTCGTGCTGTTGGACCTGCTGCTGCTTGGCGTTGGCGATGATGGCCTCCAGCTCGTGGAAACGTTTCTCCATCAGTGTGAGGCGGAGCCTGGCGGCCTGCTGCTCCTTCCTGATTCGCTCCAGCTGTCTCCGCCCCACCTCCTCGGCCACGCAGGGACTCTGCTGCCACTGCTGGATCCTCTGGGGGAGGATCTCGTAGATGCGGCTGCAGGACACAGACGGACCGTGAGCTTCTGTGTGTCTCGCTCTTCCTCCAGCGTCCACGTGGACCTGGGACTCACTTGGCGGCGAGCTTCATGCCACAGTCCTCGGTGCAGTATTTGGAGTTGCTCCTTGCCAGCTGGATGCAGCCTGGACCCAGACACTGCCTCAGAGCCCCGCCCACATCTTTAGCACCGCCCTCTCCTGCACGCTCACTGTGACGCACGCGCTCTCTGTGACGCTGCTTCACTTTGTGACGTCGAGGCTTCGCCTCCTGTTTCGGAGCAGAAATGGACTTCTGCAGGAGCACAGGTGTGTCACTGACATCATCAGTGACATCATCAGTGACATCAGAGGTCATGTGACCTTACCTTCTTCTCTGGCTTCTTGTCTCGTCTCTTCACGTGCTTCACCTTCACCGCCTTCTTCCTCAGTGAGTCTGTCTGAGCGTCCTCCTCCTCCTCGCTGTGCCACACCTGTAAACAGGAAGAAGAATCACAGAACAGGAAGTGGCTCTCTGCCGTCTGATTGGACAGAAGGTATTACTCACCAGGTCTCTGAATCCAGCAGCTTTGTACTGCTCGTACAGCTCTAGCTCACTCTCGCTGAACCCCTCCTCCTCCTCATCATCTTCCTCATCCTCATCTGTCAGATGCCCCGCCCCTCCATAAAACAGGCCACGCCCCCTGAGGCTGCTCTGACTCATCTCCTCGTCTCTGACACGCAGCATCTTCTGCTCAGAGACATGTTTTAGTTAGCTCCGCCCCCTTTCCAATAAAAAACACTCACATGGCGTGCTGTGATTGGCTGATCAGACTGAGAGCGTTAAACTCAGACTTTTCTGAAACTGAACAGAAACAGAAAATAACACAAATCAGACAAGAAAACGCAAAAAAAACTTGTAGTTTCAGATGTTTTAAAGTTTTTTTTTTCTGTGTACTGTCCGGTAATTTCAAACAAATTAATGTCTGAGAGTCCAAATGAAGCCCAACAGTTTTACTTTCACAAGTGCAGCATCACCTGGTATATATTCAAACCTTTGTTATACTTTATTTTGGGATTAATGGACACTGAGACGGAAAAAAGAAAGAAAAAGGAGAAAAGTGAAAAAAGAGATAGAAAGAGAAACAAGACGATGAGAGATGTTTAAAGAAAACACATTTATAGTCTGTCTCCACACCTGCAACAACAGAAAACACAAACACAACAACAAAATACACGTGTATAATAATTATGATTATAGCCTCACTGACAAGTACTCAGTAAATTTCATGAGTAGAATATAATAATAATAAAATATATACACAGAGTATATACACATACACATTTAGTGGCCGACACAGTCCCAACATAGAATGTATCTAAGAAACACCTGGATCTGAACACCTGTTTGGGTGTGGTCGTGAGCAGGTACACACAAGGTTTCTGCACCAGAATGTTTAATAGAGACTGTGGAGACCCACAGACCTGACCCCCAAGGCCTGAGGCAGACATCAGGGAGACCAGAACCCGAGCACAGAGTCCCCAGGGGCACCAGAGCAGGAACAACTGCTTACCCACCCCCCAGAGTGGACYAGAGGGCCAGCAGCAACGAGCCCACAGGCCCCGCCAGGACCAACCACACCAGAGCTGATCCAGGCATGGACACAGAGGCCCGGGTCCCCAGGGCGCCCCCCGCCCCCAGCCATGGCCCAATAGGGCCAGAGAGGACCCGAGCCCCACCAGGCAGTCACAGGGCCGAGCCAGCACCTGCCCGGGCACCCAGCCCCAGATACCGAGAGCCACCAGTGCACCGGTGAGCACAGGTCCACCCCACCAGAGGGCAGAGTGGCAGGGGGACAAGGCCCACCACCACCAGCAGTGGACCCCCAGGTGAACCAGAGGAGGGGGGCCACCCAAGACCCAGCCTGACACATATCCAATCACACACAGACACACAATCCCACCATCATCCTCACACACACTCATTCAAGGACACACAAGATGGACACCATAATCCACTCACACTCCTCATACACACTCTACACCCCCCGGGTCCAGGACATGCACCCCCATGAACCCAGGAGGTACACCCTTTCATTCTGGGGTGGAGAGGAGCAGACAGCCAAAGCTCAACCTGGCTCAACCCACCACCACAGTGAAGCCACGCCCCCGACCACCCCCACACACCGCCAATGGCCAGGTGCCCCCAGGGCCCAAACCCCCAGCTGACCACTCACCAGACTCCAGCTGCAACTCTGGACAGAGGCCCAACCATGGCAACCAGGAGCCGTGATCCAAGAATCCAAACAGCCTCAGGGGAGCCGGAATGCCAGCCCCATCCCTGGCACCCCCCAAGCCCCGAGCCCACCCGCCACCCAGGCCCCACCAGACAGTCTGACCTTCCTTCGAACCCCAACCCCGAATGGCAAACAGGGAATGAGGGAGTGGGAAAAAAACATGATGTTTTAAGTTTCAGCGAAGTTAACCTGATTGTGCTGACCCAACCGAGCCCTGACCTGTTACCATGACGACAGAGGAAGCTGACGTACCCGGGCTCGGACCTCACACTGCCGGAGGCGACACTTTTGGCGGATCTTGTTTGGACCTCCAAACTTCTTCATGTCTTTACAGAAGTCACACTGAGCGCAGTCCTCAGTCCTCAGACAGGCGTCACACTCACCACACATCCGGGCCGAGCGCTTGATCTGCACACCAACAAACACACAATAACAAACAAAAACAAAACAACAAGGCTTACTTCAAACACACCTCAAAGTGCAGTGAAAGGAGCTCCATGCAGATGAAAAAAACATCCTTAAGCTGCTAAAACAGAAGAAACGTCTGAGAAACTGCTGCAATATCAGGAGGGGCTCCATCTGATCCATCCTGAGAGGCACCGGTGAACTCCTCAACGCAAAAACACCTGGACGCCCACAGAAGACAGCAGTGATGATGACGATGATGATGGTGATGATGATGGTGATGATGATGATGATGTGATGATGATGATGATGATGATGACAGTAGAAATATTTCCATGAAGAAGAGAAAGACCTTCACAACAGCCAACCAAGTGCACACCACTCTCCAGGAGGAATGACATCAAATCCAAACGTACCATAAAGAGACTGTGTGAAGGTAAACACAGAGGGTTCACTGCACGCTGAGAGACACTCTGAATCCTCAAGAATAAAAAGGTTAGACTGAACTTTGTTAAAAAAAAACTACAAGGCAAGCACAGCTCTGGAAGAACATTCTTTGGACAGATGAAACCAGATCAACCTCCACCAGGACTGACAGAAAACCTCCTGCTGAAGGTACAGCTCATGACTCACAGCTACAACATCATCTGTACGACACGGTGGAGGCAGTGTGATGGTTTGGGCATGGCTGCTCGTGGCACCGGGTCTCTAGTGTTTACTGATGATGTGACATCGTTCAGAAAGAGGAAACAGGGTCTGGTGACGTCATGACTTCAGTTACTGCCAACAACCAAGTATTACAAATAAACACTTTATTTACAAATATTTAATTTGTCCAATTATCTTTGAGCCTAAAGCYAAGCAGAAATGAAGGGAYTGTGTTTAAAAATGCAAAAGTATGAGTTTTAATTTAAGTCTTAAATAGATGTAGGTCTGCAGACAACATTGCTCCGTATCTCTGGAAGCTGCATGGATGAGTTCACTGCAGCTTATTTCAAACATAAAACCAAACAATTTATAAAATAAAATAAAAAAGAATGAATGAAAGGGTGCAGAGTTTATCTGCCTCTTATGAACTTTAAATATTTATCAGGAAGCTAAAAGTACTTTCTGTTAGTTTTGCAGTGTAGAAGATAAGTTCAGGCAGAAGTGGGCGTGGCCAGCACCATGTGACTGAGTCACAGACTGAGGCAGAAGTGGGCGTGGCCAGCACCATGTGACTGAGTCACAGACTGAGGCAGAAGTGGGCGTGGCCAGCACCATGTGACTGAGTCACAGACTGAGGCAGAAGTGGGCGTGGCCAGCACCATGTGACTGAGTCACAGACTGAGGCAGAAGTGGGCGTGGCCAGCACCATGTGACTGAGTCACAGACTGAGGCAGAAGTGGGCGTGGCCAGCACCATGTGACTGAGTCACAGACTGAGGCAGAAGTGGGCGTGGCCAGCACCATGTGACTGAGTCACAGACTGAGGCAGAAGTGGGCGTGGCCAGYACCATGTGACTGAATCACAGACTGATGATAGGAGACAAACATTCTGCAGTTACAGGACCAAACAGAGACATGTCCACCCTGTAAATGTCTCTGTCCAACACATCTGGACCTAACAGTCCAGGTCCAGGTCCTGGTTACCTGAGAGGCCCGCCTCCGGTCCATTGCAGTCTGAGGGGTGGAGCTTCTGTCTCGATCAGACCTGTCTTGTCTCTCAAGCTCCGCCTCTTGGTTCTGTTTGTCCAGGACCGGGTCTCTGTCTGCAGACAAAACACAGCTGATTAGGGCTGTGTGTTGACAAGAATTTGTCGATACGATACAAATCATAACAGAGGGGTCACGATACGATTTATCCTGATATCCTGGGATACTGTAAACAAGGCGACATATTGTGATTTATTGTCCAGAAATTCTATTAAATAAAAACCTCTTACTGAAAAGAAAAGCTAATGTTTACTCACAATGCTAATGCTACCCTTACTCTCTGGTGCTCAAGAGGTAGAGGAGCCAAATGTCTGGCTCACTGCTGCCAACTAGTGGTCAGAGGCTGAACTACAACATAAAAATGAACGGCTGGCAGGAAAGTTGACATTTTAAACCTTAATAANCATCCATCCATCCATCATCCAAACATCCATCCATCCATCATCCAAACATCCATCATCCATCCAACCATCCATCATCCATTCATCCAGTGACATCATCGTCTGATTGTCATGTTTAGTTTTTCCTTTTTATCTTTAAGCAGTTTTAAATTGCAAAAACAAAATATTTATTGCTTGGATCCAGAACTGAACCTGGACCTTTATTTAGTCCTGAATTTGGACCTTGATCTGAGCCATGGTCAGAATCTGTAACTGATTTGGGTCTGGATCTGATAAAAACGGTGGTTCAGGTTTGTCTGTAACAGAATTGAAAAGCAAATTAACAGGTCACATGACCCGCTCAATTAACAGGTCACATGACCCAATCAATTAACAGGTCACATGACCCAATCAATTAACAGGTCACCTGACCCAATCAATTAACAGGTCTCCTGACCGAATCAATTAACAGGTCTCCTGACCCGATCAATTAACAGATCACATGACCCGATCAATTAACAGGTCACTTAACCTATTAATTAACATACAATGGTCATAGAACTTGATCAGTGTAAAGAGGCTACACTGGGCTGGTGATGTCATTGAATATGGCTGGTGATGTCATTAATAGGGCTGGTGATGTCACTGAGCAGGGCAGGTGATGTCATTAATAGGGCTGGTGATGTCATTAATAGGGCTGGTGATGTCATTAATAGGGCTGGTGATGTCACTGAGCAGGGCAGGTGATGTCACTGAGCAGGGCAGGTGATGTCATTAATAGGGCAGGTGATGTCATTAATAGGGCTGGTGATGTCATTAATAGGGCTGGTGATGTCACTGAGCAGGGCAGGTGATGTCACTGAGCAGGGCAGGTGATGTCATTAATAGGGCAGGTGATGTCACTGAGTAGCTGGTGACATCAGGGGATCCTTGTCATTATCCTCTGGGAGGTTCACCTTCCACCTTGGGAAGAGGAGAGTGATTGTCTGAGCAMAGTCTGTTTTTAGGCTTAAGATGAAGACGTAGACGAAGATCCAGAACTACTATCAGTCCAGCTGTGGTTCTGAAAGAACTTGGTGTGGACAGAAAATAAAAGCAGGTGCTTTAAAGACCTGCAGCCTGTAAGGAATCAGTGGGCCACAGACAAAAAATGATGTCATCATATTTCTGGGATGCAGGTCTTAATGTCTGATGGATCCATGAAGTTCTTGTTTGAGTCCACATCACTGAGACAATCTGAAGAACCTGTAAAGAACTTCTCAATGTCTATCAGCAGATTTCTGTCTCAAACTTAAGTTTGATCTTTAGCTCTTTTTAACTTCACTGTTTGACCTTAAAGGGTAAGAAACAACATCTGGTGTTCTGATTGGTTAGTAGCGTTTGGATTTAGGTTGAATGAGTCTCTGACATCTYGCATCACCTCAGAGACAACCTCTAACTCCAACAAAGAACATGATAATCTCATGTAAAGGTACCTACAGGGGTTGGTCAGACCTTCTTAAGGTGCAGAAAGTTTTGAGGGTGGGGGGGGTGGTATGTCTGTCTCGCTGAGTCTGATACCTGATTGCTCCCATCTTTCTAACAAGTGGTTCAATCAGTGGGCTGTAAGAAAGGGGTGGGGCTAGTTTGGGTGCCAGCAGCTCTCTAAACCACAACAGGATCATCATCATCATCATCATCATCATCTGAAGGTAACAACTGGAAATACGATCCACCAGGACCACAAACTCTTTCTTATTACAGCCTGAACACCAAGACTAGGAAACCAGTCTGGGACTGATCTGTGCCTTTGGTTTTCAGGGTCCTGATTGGTTGGTGAGTCAGACAAGAGTCCCTGGAGTTGGCTGGTTTGCTGGTCCTTATTGGTTGGTAAGTTGCTGGTTAAATATGACTAGGACCAATTAGGACCAATGTTGGAATTGGTTCGTGAGTCAGACCGGAGTCTCAAAGTCTTGATTGGTCAGGAGGTCAGACTAGAGTCCCTGGGGACATCTGATTCACTGGTGGGTCTCTGGGATGGACTTCCTGTTTCTGGGAGCCAAACGACTCTTGGCAGAATGAGTTCTCCACAGGCCTGAAGGAGACAGAATATATTTAATATATTAATATTCAATTTAAATATTTCAACTGTGTTCAGTTTTCAGTTTAAACCTCAGTAAAATGAAAGTAAAACATTTAACTTTAGCTTCTGATCACTGAATGAGTGTCCTCAGGCTCAAAGCAGAACAAGCTGGGAGAGTTCAGTTTTCAGAGATARGGTAGCTAACAGGACAGCAAAGGATGTGGAAGATGGGTCAGAACGAGGTGGTTCCGACCTGTCCTCACACCTTCATGCATGTGACCAGACATTTGTCTTGGGAGCCAGGTAAACAAAGACAAAGATTCGGGTCTCCAGGTGAATCTAGGTGGCATAACTGAGTCTCACAGAAAGGTTAAAACTGTCAAACTTATCTCTCCAGTTTAGAATTGAGGAAATTTCCTGGACTGGAGGTGAAACATCTTCAACTGCAGAAACCTATCTGGTTTTGGAAGGTTCTGGTTCTGGTTCTGGAAGGAATGAGGACCCCTACCTGCCGTGCAGCGGGTGTCCGTGGAACGTGGCAGAATGTGGCAGCATCTGTTTGTGATGTGGCACTGCATAGAGATGGCCGGCCTCTCGCTGATTGGTCGACTGCTGGACGACGCTGTGAGTTGTTGGTCTTCGATGCAGAGCTCTACACCCTGTGACCTGACCTTTGACTCCAGGGTTCAGTTTGGTGTTGACCTCTGTGGTGACCTTTCCATTAACCTGGTTCTGGTGTGGGGAGCCTAGGGTGTTCCTGAGGTACCAGTCCCTCAGACCTGCAGATCACACATCAGGTTCTGGATCAGTTTACAGATGGAGGACACTGTGTTGGTCCTGCAGGAACTGGTTTCACTGTTGCAGAACCATGGTCCAGTTTGCAGTACTGGTCTCAGTTAGATTAGTAGTTCTGGACCAGAGTACCTGCTGGAAATCAGAAACTATAAGAACAACTCCATCATCATTGTCATAATCAAACACCTGAACTCAGGTGTGTTTGGTTCTGTTCACTCAGTGATTAAACCAAGGAGGCTGGACCAAGTCAGACTGGACAGAATCAAATCGGACCCGATTGGATGAGACTGGACTGGACCAGATCAGACAGAGTAAAACTGGACAGAGCCAGACAAGACCAGTCCAGATGCTTACCTTCTAAAGCCAGGGCCTTGTGAAGGCTCCTGGTGGCTTCCTGTAGCTGGGAGTCCTGGTGGGGGGGCAGCTGGGCTGGCCGTGGGGGCAAAAGGTGGGGGTGGGGGTCTGGTTGAATGGTGGGTGGAGGTTGATGGTGGGCGTCGGACTGGCTCTGCTGCATAAGTAGGAATGGACCGCAGGACTTTGTGCGGGTGACAGTGACTCTTCGCTGGTTGCCTTGGTGACTAAGGTAAGTGGGCGGGGCTACTGAGGGTGGCTGGGCAGAGCAACCATTGTAGATCAGCTGGTGCTGCGATGGGGTTGGCTGGCTGCTTGGTTGGGACTGCTGGTGCTGCAGCTGACACTGGGGTCTGGGGTTGGTCTGAAGAGTCTCACAATGTTTGGACCTAAAAGATTAAAGAGGAGATTTTACAGAAAATGTTCTGATAGGACCAGGACCGTCATGTGATCTGTAAATCCTGTTTCTGGTTCTTATTTCAGCTGATTTACCAGGTTTACCTGAGAATCTTTCACAAAACAGTCCCATAAAATGGCTGCACAGACCAGTTCATCTTTAAATGTCCTCTGGCCCACTGATGGAGTCTATTGATGGAGTCTACTGATGTGATGGAGTATACTGATGGAGCCTACCGATGGAGCCTACCGATGGAGCCTACCGATGGAGCCTACTGATGGAGTCTATTGATGGAGCCTATTGATGGAGTCTATTGATGGAGCCTATTGATGGAGTCTATTGATGGAGTCTATTGATGGAGTCTACTGATGGAGCCTACTGATGGAGTCTACTGATGGAGTCTACTGATGTGATGGAGCCTACTGAGGGAGTCTAGTGATGGAGCCTACTGATGGAGTCTACTGATGGAGTCTAGTGATGGAGTCTACTGATGGAGCCTACTGAGGGAGTCTAGTGATGGAGTCTACTGATGGAGTCTACTGATGGAGTCTACTGATGGAGCCTACTGATGGAGTCTACTGATGGAGTCTACTGATGGAGTCTACTGATGGAGTCTACTGATGGAGTCTACTGATGGAGCCTACTGATGGAGTCTACTGATGGAGTCTACTGATGGAGTATACTGATGGAGCCTACTGATGGAGTCTACTGATGGAGCCTACTGATGGAGCCTACTGATGGAGTCTACTGATGGAGCCTACTGAGAGAGTCTACTGATGGAGTCTATTGATGGAGTCTACTGATGGAGTCTACTGATGGAGCCTACTGATGAAGCCTATTGATGGAGCCTACTGATGGACCCCAGTGATAGAGTCTACTGGTTTAACCTATTGATTTAACCTATTGATGGAGCCCATTGATGGAGCCTATTGATGAAAGCCACCATGTCCCACACAGACATGAGGTGTCTTTGGCTGTGTCCAAAACAACAGGACGGGTCCTCCGAAGGTCGAATTTGTCGGCTGCATAC